ATCAAATGTTACAATCGTCTTTACAAAAGTTGTCAAGCAGTAAAAAAAAAAAAAAAACAATTTTGACCCATTCATGAACGTGTGGTAAAATGTTTCGAGCATTGATGTCTTCGCCTTTACTAGGTATGCCGGCCATTAAACACCCTTCCTGTCGGCCATCAAACAATACACCCTTCTTGTCGACCATAAAACAATACACACGCCTGTATGTCATTAAACAATACTCCCTTCCTTTCGGCCATTAAAAAATACCACCTTCCTGTCGGCCATTAAATAATACACCCTTCCTGACGGCCATTATACAATACACCCTTTCTGTTGGCCATTTAACAATACACACTTCCTGTCGGCCTTTAAACAATACACACTTTCTGCAGCTGCCAATATGTATTATTAGCAGATACAATTAATAAAGTGTCTCTTTAGACAAAACAAAAAAAAAAGGGGGGGGGGGAGGGGGTTTGACAACTAACTTTTAGAAAATAGGTTTCTACTGCAAATTACTCCCTCATTTAGTTCATCTGTCACATATGATGACATATCTTACAAATATGAAGGATGCCTGTTCGTGGACGTTTAAGTGGCACACGGCATTATTAATGTATGTAGTGCAAAACCGGCCCAATTATCACCGGCAGAAACGACCCAAATATCGCCGGCAGAACCAGCCCAAATATTACCGGCAGAACCAGCCCGAATATCACTGGAAGAACCGGCCCAAGTATCACCGGCAGAACCGGCCCAAATATAACCGGCAGAACCGGCCCAAATATAACCGGCAGAACCGGCCCAAATTTCACCGGCAAAACCGGCCCATGTATCACCGGCAGAATCGGTCCAAATATAACAGGCAGAACCGGCCCAAATATAACAGGCAGAACCGGCCCAAATATAACAGGCAGAACCGGCCCAAATATAACAGGCAGAACCGGCCCAAATATAACAGGCAGAACCGGCCCAAATTTCACCGGCAAAACCGGCCCATGTATCACCGGCAGAATCGGTCCAAATATAACAGGCAGAACCGGCCCAAATATAACCGGCAGAACCGGCCCAAATATAACAGGCAGAACCGGCCCAAATATAACAGGCAGAACCGGCCCAAATATAACAGGCAGAACCGGCCCAAATATCGCCGGCCGAACCGGCCCATGTATCACCGGCAGAACCGGCCCAAATATAACAGGCAGAACCGGCCCAAATATAACAGGCAGAACCGGCCCAAATATAACAGGCAGAACCGGCCCAAATATAACAGGCAGAACCGGCCCAAATATCGCCGGCAAAACCGGCCCATGTATCACCGGCAGAACCGGCTCAAATATCATCGGCAGAAGTGGAAAATGCTGCACATGTATCACGGCTCATATGTCCGGGGCCCAACTGGATTTTTCCCTGTGTTCTAGCTGGACCAGTCCACCACTGCCATTGAGTATAGAAAGTGAAGCACAAACAAGGCCTTGATTGACTCTTAAGGTAATTATTACACTTCTGCTCATATAGGACTTCTGGATTCTCACGGCACAGAGGACATTTTGGATTCTCACGGGACAGAGGACATTTTGGATTCTCATGGGATATAGAACATTTTGGACTCTCACGGGATAGAGGACATGTTGGACTCTCACGGGATAGAGGACATGTTGGACTCTCACGGGAAAGAGGACATTTTGGATTTAGAAAACGGCAAGATTTGTTTAAATGGAGTTGTTGTTTTTTTTTTTTTAATGTTTATATCAACGAAATGATTCAATTGCACATCGGAAATGTATCAATCTGTAAATCTATCAATCTGTAAATCTATCAATCTGTAAATCTATCAATCTGTAAATCTATATATACATGTAGATCGGTGAAGTGAGCCTTGCACGGTAGGTTCCGAAACAAATTTACGCCACACTGAATTGTCTTGAGTTTTAAAACGAAAAATACGTGAACTCTTCTTTCGCCCCCCCCCCCCCCCCCNNNNCCCCCCCCCCCCCCCAAATCCTGTATATTTGAGGATGTCTTTTTGTAAAGACCTATTCGAGATGGTTTCATAATTATATCGTCATTTGTCTTCTTCTTTGACTTTCTCAAGTCCCAGCGGTCCTCCCAGCGGACACTATCCTCCCAGCGGACACTATCCTCCCAGCGGACACGATCCTCCCAGCGGACACTATCCTTCCTCGCCTACCGATCTCTTTCCAACTTTTCACCGATCTCAGTTATAAAATTCATTTCTACCTCTCTAATAACGACATACTCCGGCGATACCATTATAAAAAAACAACTTCATCCCCTCGACAAAACAAAATTAAATAATAATCTGCGTTCGATACCAGAGATGACTCACATCTACTTTTACTCTAAGTGTAAGAGCTGGGCAAACATGGTCTCGATCTTTGTGAACTATCAATGCAACGCTCTGGCCAATTTTACTTACGCCAACATTTGTTTTTTAAAAGTTAGTCAAAGCGTTTTCATTGTTTATATTGTGATAGCCACTAGATTTATAGATAACAGATTACGTTGTGATAGCCACTAGATTTATAGATAACAGATTACGTTGTGATAGCCACTAGATTTATAGATAACAGATTACGTTGTGATAGCCACTAGATTTATAGATAACAGATTACGCATGGCCAAAAAAACCTTGTGTATGGCAAAAAAACAACAACTTTCACATGGCCCAAAAAAAACAACATTGAAAAAAATGTTTTTAGTTCATCACTTATACAAGTCGTAAACTGCTTTTCCCTCCAACATAATCAACTTCAGAGTTCGGCATTATTGAGTACTTATCTTTTTAACCAAAATAATTTATTTTATTTTATTTATTTAATTAATTTTTTAAAAAATTGTTTTAATGTTAATTGTATTATGGGGGGGGGGGGGGGGGGGGGGGTGGCGGTAAAAAGTCTTGCAACAATTTCCCACGGTCATCTAGATGATGTTATTTCCGGATACAATTTAAATTTTTAAAAATGCACGTCCTTGAGATATCGGGTCAAAACGTAAGGATTCCTTCTCGAAGGCTGCGCACCAATCACCTGCCCGGCATGTGCGCATTCAACATTTCTTAAATAAGAACCAACCAACCATTTTTGTTGTTACATGATGTTAATTCTCATTATAAAATGTAAAAAAAAAATAAAACATAACAAACAAAGGCAAAAAGAAAAATAACGCCCAAATGTGGACATCGAGGCAGCGTGAGTCTATGCACCTTGACCCTAAACACGTGTCCAATCCATGGGTACATAGATCTAGTCATTTTAAGTGCTCACACACGGGAAACATGTGGAGTGGCATTGAAGTGCCAGAAGCCAATGAATTCATCGCACCGAAACCTTCACCAAAAATGGTCACACAAACTGCACCGGCCCCCCCGCCCCTGCTACCCAACGACCCAGAACGTGATACACACTCAATATTTACAAGCTTACTGTAAGATCCTTCGCAGTTCGTTCCAGTAAAGAATTACAGACACATTATGATCACCCCGATGTCAGAGATCCTGAGTTCAAGTTATCCTCCACAATCCAATCCAACGGCAACCAACAACAGGTCCCCAAAACATAATTTACCAAGGATTCAAAGAAATGGGTTAGTTTTCAGTTTACAGAGGGCGCTGGGGGTTGGGGGTGGTCGGTCTGTGGTATGACTTAGAACGCTAAAACCGTATTATTATTATTTTAATTTTTTTCTATGTAGGCTGCAGTATTTTTTTTTAAATCCCTGAACCCTGGCCAAGTAACAAGGAAATCTGCTGGTGACACGGCTTGATACCTGAGAACTCGGTCAGAACTGTGGGCGTGGCTAAGCTCGAAGTAAGTTAATTTATTTCAGGTCAAGGGAGGTACAAGAAAGATTATGGCCGAGCCCAAACAAGTTACCGGCAGGGGAGATAGCTTCGCCGTCTGCTGGGTAGCCCTCTCCCAAGCTGGATTCCCCCCCCCCCCCCCCCTCCCTCCCCGGCGCCTCCCCCCCCCCCCCGCAATTCCCGATCGATCATGCCCCTACCCTCCAACATTAATCCACCAGATGGAAAAAAACTGTAATTTGCGTTTGTCCAAAAATGGGCCGCCAGTCTTCACCGAATTTCCGCGCATTGAAAAAAAAAAGAAAAAAATGTATATATCTACGACTCCTCCCACAATTAATGCGTGAACCGCCAAGGTTGTTTTTTTCAACCTGCAACCCCCTAGTGACCGGCAAAAAATGGACTCGTCCGTACTTTCGGTTAAATATAAGGCTGACGGGCTCAACAGGCAATCTAACAGCTTCCAGCAAGCCTCACAGCAGAAGGTAAGAATCTAAATGTCTAATCAAAGATTAGTTGGCCACTGTCTAAAGTTTTCAGAATATTCTTGAGACTTTATTGTTAATTAATAGTTAACTGTCTTTTTATAAACATGTTGTTTTTTTGCCATATACTTTATTTGAGGTGCTAAAACATATGTTGTTATTGCTTGCTGATACTTAAAATGATAAAATGTAAGGTAGAAAAAAAAATGCATCTCTTTCAATAATTTTTAAGTCAAATGAAAAACACAACATTTATTTATGCATTTAATTTTTAAAAATAAATGATCATTTTATTTGATATAGAAGTTTGCATTAGAATGTCTAGCACATTCGGTAGGCTACATCAGTCGGGCCTTAAAAATAAGGTCGTTGCCTTTATCCTCGTCAATATTGCACTAAATTCCTAACAAAGTCCTATTTAGGACGAAATAGTTATGAAATGTGCTGTCCAGAATTCGTTGACGTCTGAGAACAATAAAGAAAAACTATTTCCTTTTCTTACGTTCTCTGTTTAAAAAAAAATGTTAGCGGTACAATAAATCTCTAATCTTTATTTATGTTATACCCACGTGACTCCCTTCACCAATCATATGCAATCAGCCCTAAACTTAAAATGAACAAATCATGCACACCCATAGTGTGCGCACCGAACCTCTGAACAACCCATAACGCGAATCGAGCGTCATCCGCTCAAAAATCCAGTACAGACTCAAGACGTCATGCGAAAATTGAGATTAATATAATCAGTCAGAACAAACACTACTAACAGTCTTATCTCATGATTAGCTGCTTATAGAGTTTTATATTATTTTCATCCGTGTAAACTTTGAAACCTTTATTTCAAACTTCTATCAAGTGATCGATAATTTTATTTACCGTCAATACATTTTTTAAACATGCTGTTCCTTAAAAATAATTTCGAAAACCACATTTTTCACAAAGCGGATTTCCACAACTTATTTGTAAATAACGTGTATAGACGCTACGTGTGTTCATGTCCTTACTTTATTTTAAAGCTGAAGCGATTTAACAACGTTCCGAATTACAAAGTCTTTACGTACTTGAATCGCAAAAATCAATTTCACAATCACCTTGTGTACAAAAAAAAAATATTTTTAAAAAGTATACATTTTTTTACGATCACAATTATTTTTCAACTTGAAATGTCACCCACATTTCAAAAGACACTTGAAATCTGTGGTTAATCTTATGTCACGGAATGTAAAATAAAGTCATACAATTTGATTTTTAAAAATTCGCCCCCCCCCCCTCCCACTTTTTCCTTTAAAAAAAAAAAAAAAATATTTACAATTATTGCTTCTTGATGGCTTCATTCTAATGCAAGGACGATTTGTGCAGAACAAAACCAGCTCGATATTTTATTAAAGCTAATCACTCTTGACAGGATCAACAACGTTTCAATCCCCATTAAGTTTAATACCTGAGTTTCCGTTAGAGCTTAGACTATCCTTTAAGTCTTGTCCGATCTTGTTCCTTGCAGAATTTCAACAGTTCTCAAACACCGTAAAAGGAAAATACCCGCATACTCTTACTATCAAAATGGCCGAACTCCAGAGATTGTTGCACACAGAGGTCTTCACCTTTGAGCCACTGAAGGTATGTGAGTGTGTCACCGTCTTCGTTCAAGCACGCTGCCTTGTGTCACCCTGTCCTGTCAAATGTCTTCCTGTCCTGTCAAATGTCTTCCTGTCATGTCAAATGTCTTCCTGTCATGGCAAATGTCACACTGTCCTGTCAAATGTCTTCCTGTCATGGCAAATGTCGTCACGTCGAGTGTCATATTCTCATACGCTGCAAGGCTCCCAAAAGTTTTCCGTTTTGAAGTTGTGCATGTGTTGCATTTTAAAGACATAGATTTTATTTGAAAAGATTAGTAAGAATGCTTCTGCTGTTCACTGTGCTGTTCACTGTGCTGTTCACTGTGCTGTTCACTGTGCTGTTCACTGTGCTGTTCACTGTGCTGTTCTCTGTGCTGTTCACTGTGCTGTTCACTGTGCTGTTCACTGTGCTATTCATTGATCTGTTCACTGTGCTGTTCACTGTGCACACATTGACCCTTTAGTTGAAAAACACATCTTATGAGATGACACCTTAAAGAAATGGTCATGTGCTATATCAAATCTAAAAATCCCCCCGCCCCACCCCCAACCTTTTTTTTATGACTTCATAAAGTCAATGCATGTTTATAACTTAACTCTGGGTGTTCAAAGATTATTTTTTTTCATGCGTTCCAGGCTTTACTGTCCGGCGTTGAGCCGTCGACCTCTTCCACAACAACCGTTGGAAACCTAAACGGAAACACAGGTACGTGCAGGTCACGTGGGTCTAAACGATTTATGACGGATTTTTTTTCTCAAAAAAAAACAAAAAACAACTGTGGATAATAACTATTAAAAATTTACTATGAAAAGTGCAACATACCTACCTGCATTAAATGATTACTATACAGTATACAGATTTGAGTATTACATATTATGTAGAGGCAGAACCAACCCAAATTTTAAAGCCATGTTTTTCGGGATTAAACATCTTCCCTACTTTGGTGTCGGGGATTAAGGGCACTGGGGAATGTGATTTCATATCAGGCGTTAGATTACACAAGAATTCCCACAAGTAACTTGTACTTATGTCTCATGCTCATTTCAGGCACACAACCCGTGAACGCCAACGTCGCCCAACCCCTGCTCAACCTGAACAGATCCTCCCCCGGATTTAACGCCAACCTGAACACGACCAACCTGAACACGACCGCCACCATCACCATCGACAACCAGGGACACGCCAACCTCAACACCAACGTGTCCGCCACTGTGACCCGGGGCCCCACCAAGCAAGAGGTCAGTACCGTACACATTATTCTAGGGTTTGCAGGGGGGGGAGAGGGGGGTGAGACTAATTATAGACTGAACTACATATTTTGGTGATAGTTATTTTGTGGTAACCCTTTGGTTAAAGCTTGTTATGATATTATGCAAATGCAAGCATGATTGCAATCAATAAAAATCAATGATGACCACTCATTGTATTGAAACATTTTCCAATATTATAATTATAGTTACAAGAAGTTAATATACATATTTTTTTAGTCTATTGCAATATTCTGGTATAAAAAAACAACAAATAATTTGATCTTAATTGTAGATATACTTTATATAACATAAACTCGAACAAAACCGAGTGGACTAACACATTACATATCAAAGCCCATTTGAAACCAATGCTTATCACAAACATATGAGAACTATCTATAGTTCATATCCTGTATTTTCGATTTATTTTCTTTCGCGGGAGGGTGGGGGACTCAAATACAATTCCACCCCCCGCCCCCCAACCCAGGGCTATATAAACTATGTAGACACAGCTGATCCTATTTATAAAATAATAACTACGACCGTTTGTAGCGCCACCTGTGACCTTTGTTGACCTCTTGTTTCAGATTGATTTAAACCAGGCGAGGCCGTCTCCACAGCAGGCAACAGCTGACAGCAACGCTAATCTCACCGACGTGGCTCACCTTCTTGATGTGGTAAGTTCGTTTAACTACCCTTCACCGTGAATGGACTGTTGCATAAAACGCTAAAGACTCTTCCTTAATGGACTATACACCCCCCCCCCCAAATCTCTCCCATAAACGACATTAGAGTGTTCCACACTATGGGCAGTCCACAATAAAAAAACGATGTGAACAAATTTCCTATTTAACATTCAGCGAAGAAAAGTAGAGTTAGAAACTAGTCATACATTGACATATTATGAATGTGTGGTTGATGTTTGATGTTGATTGATGCATGGTGGTTGTTGTTGTATGGGGGTTGAATAATCTTGATTGATGTGGATGAGAGAGTGAAAGGCCGATTCCCCCCCTCCCCCACCCTACTGATACCCAAACTAACCCTTCTCTCCCCCCCCTCTCCACAGGTGCACGAGGCGCCATCAGATGGTCAGAAAGACCTGATCAACCAAGTGACAGACACTGTTGTCGACGCCCACCTGGCCACCACCGTCAACACACAGGCCAACATCTTGGAGGCCAACGAGAGAATCGACAAAGAGAAAGACGCCCCTGAGCAGGTCAGTTCTCGCGCCACAAACGCTTGTATAAATAGAATGATGACGTGACAACCTATCCCCATGTGATTAACATAACATTTTTTCTTAAGCTTTGAATATAGAATAAATTAAAAATCAGGCTTACATTATATGCAAGGGTGGGGTTACTGTTCTTAATGCCACATTTTGTTCATTTTCTTACAATATGTGAACATATAAATATATATATTAACATATGTATATATAGAGAGAAAGAGATAGATGTTACAATTTTTGAATTGTTACTTATTAAAACTATTCATTAGTCCAGTCCCCCCCCCCCCGGGGCCAAATTTAAAATTGATATGCTTGTTAATATATATATTAAAATATGTATATATAGAGAGAAAGAGATAGATGTTACAATTTTTGAATTGTTACTTATTAAAACTATTCATTAGTCCAGTCCCCCCCCCCCGGGGTCAAATTTATAATTGTTATGCTTGTGGTTCCAAGAAAATCTCTCAAGTGTAAAGCTTCACTTCTTTTCAACTGTCCCATCTCGCTTCTTTCCAGCTTGACAACGCCAGCCCGTCTGTCCTCTGGCAACAGTTCACATCTGCCATGCTGCCCGAGCTGACCAAAGTGGTCAACTTCACCAAGAAGCTCCCCGGGTTCTCCGAGCTGAACGCCGAGGACCAGGTCCAGCTGATCAAGCAGGGTAGCTTCGAGGTCATGGTGGCCCGCATCTCACTGCTCATCGACGAGATCAACCAGGAGATGCTGGACCCCCAGCTCAAGCTCAAGTGTTCGAGGTGAGCATCATCGGAATGTGTGTGTGTGTGTGTGGAGGGGCGTGGTGTCTCTGTATGTTAGTGAAGTTGGCATCGGAGCGCGAAAAAGAAGCTAATTAGTTTGAAGATGCTTGGAGCTCCTGACTCCAATCTTTAAGGAGTGCATGAAGCTTACAGTCGAAATTATTACAACTAATCAAACTCAGATTACAGCCAGCGTCAGTATATCGCAAGAGCTATGTCTCTAATTCATGACTCTTTCTACGCCCACAGAAATATCGTCCGCGAGATGCCTATGGGTCCACTCATTGACCAGATGTTTGAGGTGGCCGAGCAGTTGAACCCCATGCGTCTGACAGATGGCGAGATCGGTCTGTTCACGGCGGCGCTAATTATAACACCCGGTAGGTACCTCATCTCTGGACACATCAGTCACGCCCCCCCCCCCGGTTTTTTGTGTTCCCCATTAGTGCTTTAGCTCTTGGGTGAAAGGCGTTACCGTATGTCCTCAGTTATTTAATTGTCGCTCATACAGATTTTAATTTGAAACAACTTTTAGGTCAGAGCCAGCTTTATAACTTTTACCCTTTTAAAAGGGTGTGGTTTCATATGATTATAATGTTCAGCATTTTAGTTTAAGACAACATACGATGAGAATATATTGCCGCATTTCTTAGCACAGATTTAGTCAGTCATCTAAATGGCTTGCGCTAGATCTGTAACTGGATCATCTCTGAACAGACATTAACCAGTTTCGTCATTCATGTTTCCTTGCAGAACGATCAGGGCTTAAGAACACCACCGCCGTCCGAACGATCCATCGTCTGTTCCTTCAAGCCCTCTACTGCAGCTTGAAGCAGACTCATGCTGGTGAGTACCCATAACAAGTCGGGAGATGACTCTCGCCGCACTTCTCTGCACTTTCTCTCCTCTCTTTCTCTTATTTCTCTCCTCTATTTCTTTTATTTCTCTCCTCTCTTTCTCTTGTTTCTCTCATATCTTTCTTTAATTTTTCTCCTCTCTACCCCAAATTATATGTTCTCGTATCTTTTTCTCCACTACATACTAATTTAACCCCCCACCCCCCATCCACACCGTCTCTCCCACCCAACCCCTTTAACAAACTTTCCCCCTCGTAAATTCACCAAAAAGCTTTCACTCATAATCCTGCATAAATCTACACACAAGACATTCCTCGTCGGCCAGTATTATCCATCTGTCACATCAGGCTGTCAACAGTAAATCATATTAACAGCTGACAGAAATCCCTATTAGATGTTTTGAAATGTCGCGTTGGGGGGGGGAGGATTGGGGGAGATGTGGTAGGCGGGATGAAATCAATCTCAGCTAAGTGCAAGACGTGGACAGGGAAGACGCGAAAAAAATGGCGCCCCTAGTATTTAATGACCCAATCGAAGCCATAAATCTCGGCTTGGTTTCACTATTAATCGTGCTCGTCCCCCCCTTGTCTCCTTCCAGACGCTGACCACACGTTCAGGTCCCTGCTCAGCCTGCTGCCGCTGCTGAAGAACATCAACGAATCTCACACGAGATTTCTCAACAACATCAAGGCCAAGTCTCCGGCGATGTTCTCCTCTCAGTTCCCTCAGCTGCACAAAGAAGTTTTTGATAACTAAAGGAGGAAGGGTAGCCCTCTTTAAGGAGAAACACAGTTCTCTCCCGACACGGATCCCGTTCTGGTGTTTTCAAATTTTTTTTTTTTTTAAATTTAAAAAAAAAATATTTTTTTTAAACGAGACATTATGGACCATTTTTAAAACTCCACATCTGATGTCCGTGACCCCGAAAAGGCTCTTGGACACGAAACCTGTGCAATGTTTACATCAGACGGCAGAGGCCCCTGGTGGGGGTCTAGTGATATGGTAAACTGGATAGTAACCTCGATTTGATATAACAGTGGTTGAGTTCTCAAATTGACGATTTATAGTTATATACCCGTATGTTGCAAATGTATTCGCAGATATTGACATATACATACTTACACCAACTAGCATTACTAATTTAATGAATATACTCTTATTATTTTAGGTAGTCGTAATTAAAACTCGAGGTTCAGTGGTTTCCAAGTTTTATGTTCCTGTTGCGCCCCATTTCAATATTTAATTATCTAGCATTGTCTCCTATCTTTTTTTATGAATTATTATAGAGGCTTGTGAAAGCATGTATCAATATTAAAACTTTTTGAGCCCCTCTGTCCTCTTTGAAACAGCTTGGAAACCGCTGTCCCGGTTGGCTGAAGTTGACTTTATTTTCATTCTGTTTTAAACTCTAGCCATTTTCTTGTTTCGCCCCAGCCATGAGCCAATATTTGTCTACCATTAAATGATATGTTTGTCCATCTGCTTAAAAGCACAGACCTTCAACTTAATATACACAATTAGGGAGATGGCTACACAATAATAATACATTGGTCGAAATTGGGCGGGGGGGGGGGGGGAAAAAAATTTGGAGACAGACAACTCGAAAAAGGGGGGAGGGGGGGTTGGAATTACACATTACAATGAGTTTCCACAGTTGTATTTTTTCCCACTTACTATTTGTTTAAATAGCCAATTTAGCCGGATGTTGGAAATTAGGTCAAATGGAGAACAGAGCGATTCAACCAACAGTTGTTGACACAGAGAAATCCATTCATTTTTATATACACATATGTAATTTTTACAACTACCGTATTGTGTTCAGACTGCAATGACATCTCATCGTCATCACGTCACCTTCATATTATATTACTTATCCATGTTCAAGCCTGCGTGTCATCGTCATCGCATCACCTTCATATTACTTATCCATGTTCAAGCATGAGACCACATATACTTAAACTCATTGGACCATATTTTATGCAACCATATCCGACTGAATAGATTTTTAAGAATTTAAAAAAACAAAAAAACAACTCATTTCATTTTTTTAAAAGAAATTTCATCCAGTCTCATTTCACTACGCCAAATGAATGTAGATCTGATTACAATTGTGATATAGGTTGGGTTTTTTTTCTTTTAATTTAAAGGTAGTTGGGGGGGGGGCACACATTTGCTAGTAAATTTTGAGTTCACTTATGCATTTTTAAATTTCATGTAGAATAACTAAATGGAGGGAGTATGAATTGTTTATTCAGATATTTGTTTGAAAGGAGCATGCATTGTTGAGGTTAAATGAATTTAGAATGGAGGTAGTTTCTTTACATTGAAATAATGTCAGCTAAATGTGCCTTATATTTTTTATACATTTTGCTATTAAATGTGATATTTAAAATATAAAATAAAACAATTTTACTATGTGATGTCATCGATTGTAAATAAACAGATTATTTATGTTTTGATTCGTCTGAATAAAATTATATATATTTGGGGGGGGGGGGGGGGATTAGAGGGACACATTGTCAAATTCAATTCAAAAACACTCAAAAGTTCATTATTTGCAAATAAAATTATTTTATACTTAAGAAAAAAATGCTTTGATTATCATTTTTCTGTGTTGTTTGTATGACTTACTATAAAAGTTACTATAACCTGAAGTTACTGGTCTATATTGCTTCACGAAATATTGATTTTCTGCCTAACTGTAAATGTTTTGTAACGAAAATTTATCATGACTTATTTAAGTCATAGTTCTCTTTTACAGCGGTTTATTAATAAATCTATTTAGTCGCCAAACATTTTAAAAAAATAATTTAAAAAAAAACAAAAAAACTTCTTTCTTTTTTCAAATACAAAATGATATTATGGCAACATCCAAAATTATGTGTTTATGAGTTACTTTGTACAAAATGTGTTCATCATCGTTTATGTAATTTCTGGCGACATGCATCAAAAAATTAGTGCGGCTAAAAAGTAAGCCTACTTTTGTAACCCCAAGATGTGTAATTGGAGAAGTGTGGCAAGAAAATACGTTGGACAGCTTGAGAAATTGAGAAACGTGATAGTCACTGAAGTAAATGAAAGGGAATTTTTTTTTTTTTTAAATTTAAAAATAAATAATAATTGCTAAAGAGTGACAGAAGTCGACGGTCATCTGTGAAAATTGCACCAGATACCGCCACTCTAAGATATGAATAACTTAAGTCAATCAATGTGCAGTAGATATGCCACTCTAGGATCTGACTACCTAGTCAATCAAAGTGCAGCAGATAATGCCACTCTAGGATCTGACTACCTAGTCAATCAAAGTGCAGCAGATAATGCCACTCTAGGATCTGACTACCTAGTCAATCAAAGAGAGGCACAGATGAAAAGCTACGGTAACGTCTCGCGAAGACTGATGGAGGGAAACACTACTACAAGTCAAGTAATCTAAACTATCGGACTCAACCCAAGTGGGCTTTGTTTTTTTTTTGGGGGGGGGGGGGGGGGGGGGGGGGTTTTGTGGTGTTTTGTCTGTATGAGAAATACAAATAAATTGTTGTCATCCAGGAATTTGTAATCGCCAGAAACAGTGAACAGACTATGGGTGACCTGATGGCGGTGACATGTCCGGACATTATCCCTAGAATCCCTGAACTCAACGAATCCTATCTTACTTTCTCACCTCTTCATCCTACATAATGTACAGGCCCATTGCTGCAGTCTAAAAGCAGTGCTGGCGTCTCCACTACAAGGTTATACTCTTTCAGCCAACATTTGTTGACTAGTGCTTCCGTGACTCTTTCCGTGACTGTTTCCGGGGCTCTTTCCATGACTGTTTCCGTGACTATTTCCGTGACTGTTTCCGGGACTGTTTCCGGAACTGTTTCCGTGGAAGCTGTCTTCATGGTCCGGTTTCTGTAATTCACATTTTTCTCAAATTTTCTGTGACAGTTCTCTACATTATAAAACTACGAACATTTCCGGAACAAAAATATTTATTCTTCTTCTATCTTTATTGTAAGAGTGTTGGACTGCGATTAAAGCTTTAAAATAGATTAATTGGACACGAACAATTTGTGTCAATGAAACAATACTTTTTAATAATAATTTTAGATAATACACAAGTAAACGTTTCGGCTATTGCCTACATCAGTATAGCAGCAAAACATTTAAATAACTATATTTCAAATTTACATAATATATACATGACATACATGTATTTATTTATTTATTTATTTAGGCATTTTTATATAGCGCTTATCATAAAGCTCTAAGCGCTTTACAATTATTAAAAACATGTAAACTAAGTAAATACAAATGAGACACTAGGATAGTAACTACTGTTCTATAGAAACAATGAAAATGGCTATAAAAAGAGGACACTTTGACACTTCAGGATTAAACCGAAACAGAAAATTAGGTAGGGCAAGGAGGGTGCATCACAGGTCATAGGCGGACCTAAACAGATGAGTTTTAAGGGACTTTTTGAAAATGGACGAGGTTTCACTATGACGTATATGGAAGGGGAGCTGGTTCCAGAACGTGGGCCCATGTATCCTACCTAAAAAAAATAGAAAAAAGAATAGGCGTGGGCTAAAAGCCCAGACAGAAACAAAGAAAAGAAGAACGGAAAGGAAGTGAGTAAAATCTAAAAAAAACCCATCAGGAAAAAGAAATAGCAGCTACGTAAAATTGGGACTTTGTTTTATGCCGCATTTCTCGAGGGGCCCCACGACCAATGTATTGATCATACTGGCTCCTATTTATGCAGATGGGATTCGCCATGTGTCTGTGCCTAGAATTGAATAGAATAGTTCACTGGTTTCAAGGGCTACTCAGCGAGGGTATTAGGAACTGGGGGTGGGAAGGCAGGGCATTAGCCCGGCAAATGTGTTCCAAATAGAGATGAACTGAACGTAATCTTATCCAACTCAAATACAATGCGTCCATAATATAATTCAATAATTTTATAATTATTGATGAAACAATAATATTTTGATATTAGTGAACGCTGCTCTCAAAAATTGTGGACAAAAATTCGCTTTAAAACAAACCGTGATACCACTTGCATTTGATTAGTGTGATTCCACCCCCTCTTGTCGTCCTACCTCTACAAATCCTCGCATGTATTCATTCATTTACAATCTCTTAATACATTCGTTCATCTGACCGACTCAACAATCCCCAACTCAACAATCAGCAACTCAACAATCACCAGCTCAAAAATCACTGAGGTATTTATCTTCATATATGAGACGCTGACTATATACAATGAGAAGCTGAATATATATAATGAGAGGCTGACTATATACAATGAGAGGCTGGCTATATACAATGAGAGGCTGAGTATATACAATGATAAGCTGAATATATACAATGAGAGTCTGACTATGTACAATGATAAGCTGACTATATATAATGATAAGCTGAATATATACAATGAGAGTCTGACTGTGTACAATGAGAGGCTGGCTATATACAATGAGAGGCTGACTATATACAATGAGAAGCTGACTATATACAATGAGAGGCTGACTATATACAACGAGAGGCTGACTATATACAATGAAAAGCTGACTGTATGCAATGAGAGGCTGACTATATACAATGAGAAGCTGACTATATACAATGAGAGACTGACTATATACAATAAATATCTGACTATATATAAAATGAGAAGCGAACCATATACCATGAGAGGCTGACCGTCTTAACCCATTCAACTGAACCCCAGTTCAGCACGTTTAAGATAACATAGAGCACATTTCCACATACTTCAAAACCAGGTTAATAACACATGCCTTGCACTTTACCAACAACATCATCAGTTATTGCCGGTACACAAACCCACCAGACTCATCGAGTTGTACAAGCTTGCCAAAAAAAAATGAACAAATAACAACTCTAACATTCGAAACCAGTGGTGGGGATGTCATTTCTTTTTAAACATGCCAACAAAATTGACTTACAATGCAGTTATGGCAACCCTCGACCCCCAAAACGTTCTTCCAGGCAGGCACGTTCTTTCTCACAGCCCTGGCGAGTGCCGGCACACTCAAAAATAAAAGCACAAGGTTATATTTAGAGGATATTTTTTTTCTCCCCCGACTGCCATGTCCAAAGTCCAGAATTACGTTTTTTTTTTTTGTTTTTTGTTTTTGTTTTTTGTTTTTTAAATGTGTGATGCGTCCCTGGCTCCAGCCTTCCACCGACTACACCCCTTCCACCCTACTCTCTTCGAAAATTTAAATATCACTGCTACCGTTATTATTACAGGCTGACGATTTTGCGCTGAAATTATTAATTTATTCAAGGGTCCTAAAGAAGTTAATATGAGAATTGTTAGCATTTTATGAAAACATTAATCCAGTCCCCAGAATTTCTTAGGGGCTCGAATTTACGTCTTGGTGGGCCGCATGTGGCCAGCGGGCCACAGTTTTCACATCCTTGCTTTAAAAATTAAGGGGCGAAATCCTCGGGGCCCTTTAACTTTTATTAGTTTAAATCAAGTCTGAAAGAAAATGTAAGACTTGGAAAAAACCACAAGTATAAAACGGAAATGTGTAAAGGGAAAAAAGTTTTATTT